TTTTTTGGACATCCATCATCTAGTATGATACCAGTGGTCAGCAAACCTCGGCTCTCGAGCCACACGCGGCTTTTTGGCCCCTTGAGTGTGGCTCTTCCACAAAATACCACAGCCTGGGCAAGTCTATTCTGAAGAAGTGGCGCTAGAAGAAGTTTAAATTTAAAAATTTTGGCTCTCAAAAGAAATTTCAATCGTTGTACTGTTGATATTTGGCTCTGTTGACTAATGAGTTTGCTGACCTCTGTGATAGCCCATAGGGAGGAAATAATAGATTTTGAGTGAATGAATGAATCCAATGAGAGAGCTGTCTGTGGCTTCCAGCACATTATTCACTTTTCCTTATCTGCAAAATGGACTCGCCATGGTGATTTCATCAGGCTGCTGAGAAACTTAGAGAGACAATATATAGAGCTCAACACAGCTAACCCTCCTCCTTGATGTAATTGTTCATTAGCACCTCAGTTTGGTTGGGGTGCGGGAGGATTTTATTCAGACCCTTCCCAGCCCTGGAAAGCATTGATGTACCAGTGCTCTGAGGTTCTGACCTCTCCTCAGTCTGTAATGCGCTCACCTCTGCCCCAAGACCACTCCGTGGATCTGGATCCACTTGGGCCGCTGCAGAAACTGTGGCAATCCCCAATTAGGAAGCCCCTCCGAGGAGCTGAAGGTTTTGAGGTTACTCTGAAGACACAGCTCCCTTTACATAAGCCTTTTCATTAAGTGCTCAAGTTTACTTTCCAGAGTTCATTGAATCACTTTGCCGGTGTTGTGATGGTTGACAAAGCCCAGTGGCTTCGAGTGATGGAAAAGTACCAGACTAGGCAGCTTCGGGACAACGGGGAGGACACAGGCACTGCTGCCTCTGTGCCCCTTCCAGGCTGGGTGCTCACCTGTGGGGGGGACCCCAGCATTCCCAGGGAGGGGTCCAGTGAAGCCCTTCCTGGTCTCTGCCTTTGGCTTGGTACTTGAGCTCCCAGGACCCCCAATGCTAGTTATGGATCTGAGGCCACCCAGAGGCAGACCCAGAGCTCCAGAGGCCAAGGAACAATTCCCGTGGACAGGAGATATGCTGGCCTGCGTGTGTGTGACAGTGGCCCTGCCTCAAAATGCTTACCGTGCTGCTGGAGAGAGGATTATTAAAATACTTTTATGTTGAGCTGAGCCATGATGACTAGAAAACCAAAGCTACCACTTATTCCTTGTTTACTTATATCATGGGTCCTTTAAATATGTGTGTCATTCGGTCCTGCTCTCTGAGGAGAAGCAGCCAGGATGAGTCCACTCTGTCCGCAGTAATTTTCCAGGAGGGCCAGGCTTGGCCTCAGGGGACCAGCTCCTGGTTGGGATGCAGCATTGCCGTCTCCATCGTGACTTCGTTCCTTTCCTTGCCAAAAATGAAACGAAAGGTCCAGTAATGCTTAGCACTGAGTAAATCCTTCTCTTTGCTTCCTTGTAGTCTTCCTCTCACATCATGGCAGCGTAGTGAGGTTGTTTTTGATATGGGGCTCCATCCCGTGCCCCCAGCAGAAACACTGAGCTCAAGATTTTCAGGCCTTCGTCACTGTGCAAGTCTAGGGCTTGAGGGAGACTTCTCATGCCTGGGAGTGGGGAACCGCCTGCTCAGGAGGATACCTGGGTTGTCTGGACCCTGCTTCTCAGAGCCTGGTTTTGGGAATGATGGCAGCACCGTGGGGTGGGCCTGGCAGGCTGGGTTTTCTCTAGGGGATCCTGATGTCTGCTCAAGTGTAAGAACTACTGGGCCACGACAAACATGCCTGCATTTCGGAATCACCCGAGAAGCGTGTTGTGGTTTTAAAAATTTTATTATTAACTTACTATTGAAATGTGTTCATTATAATATACTTTCCCCTTTGTTGTTAATTCTCACCCAGGGATATTTTTCCCCCATTGCTTGAGAGAGAGAGAGAGAGAGAGAGAGAGAGAGAGAGAGAGGGGGGGGGGGGAGATATTGAGAGAGAGAGAGATTGAGAGAGAGAGATTGAGGGGGAGAGAGAGAGAGAGAGAGAGAGAGAGAGAGAGAGAGAGAGAGAGAGAGAGAGATGTGTGCGTATGACAGAGAGAGAGAGAGAGAGAGAGAGAGAGAGAGAGAGAGAGAGAGAGAGATGTGTGCGTATGACAGAGAGAGAGAGAGAGAGAGAGAGAGAGAGAGAGAGAGATGTGTGCGTATGACAGAGAGAGAGAGAGAGAGAGAGAGAGAGAGAGAGAGAGAGAGAGAGAAACATAGATGAGAGGCACATCACTTGGTTGCCTCCCACATGTGCCCCAACCGGGCTGGGGATTGAACCTGTAACCCAGGTACATGCCCTTGACCAGGAATCAAACCCTTGACTCTTCAGTGTGTGGGCCAACACTCTGGCCACTGGGCAAAGCTGGCCAGGGCAAATAAACTTCACTTTTTAAACTGGTTCAGATTTACAGAGAAATTTAGAAGCTGATACAAAGAGTTTCTATATACCCACACTCAGCCTCCCCTATTATTAATATCTTGCATTTGTGCGGTACATTTGTTACAGTTGATGAACCAGTATTGATGCATTATTATTAAATAAAGTCCATAAATCAGCCAGGTTTTCTTAGATCCCACATTACTTTTCATCCTCACATCTCCTTTGGTCCCTCCTGGCTATGCCCGTTTCTCAGACTTTCCTGGTTTTCTAGTCATCATGGCCCTGTTCAGAATTTCCTTTGAAATGTACTGATTAGGTACTTTGTTGAATGCCCCTCAATCTGCATTTGTTTGACATTGACCTCACGATGTGGGTTACTGAGAGGAAGACCACACAGGTGAAGTGCCACTCTTCCCCTCATAATCAAGGGTACATGCTGTCACCTTGATTTATCACTGTGGATGTTGACCCTGATCATCTGGCTGAGGTGGCCTTGGCTTCTTCAACTGTCCATCAGGGTTCTCCACTGTCAGTTATTCACCTCCCTGCAACCCCCCCCCCCCCCCCCAACTTTCCATATTGTACTGTTTGGAAGGAGTCACTGAGTGCAACCCACACTTAGGGAGTGTGATGCTATGCTCCTCCCCCTTGAAGGCAGAGTGTCTGCACAGACTCTCGAGTTCTTGTGCATGGGAGAATTGTCTCTTCTCTCCCATTTATCAATCATTTCATCATTTATTTATATCCATGTGGACATGTGGATCTTGGTTTTACCCTTTCAGTTGTAATGCAATACTACTTGATTTTGTTGCTCAACTTGCCCCATCCTTGGCCACCATGAGCTCTTTAATTGCCCTGTGTCCTTTTAGGAAACCCCATCATTGTAAGGTAATTAAAAAAATTAGTGCTTCCTTTCTTTCAGCCATGACAAACCTATCTGATGCATTTCCTAGAATCAGCCATTTCTCCAGGGAGCCCTAGTTCCTTTTCTTGAGGACGGTATCAGAAACGGAGATCTGGGCCCTGGGTGTGCTTGCTGCTATTGGCATGTCATTGATTCTCTCAGCCGACAGAACAAGGAAATGCATGCGTATATATTAACCTGTGTACATAAACTTATCTGTAAATATTTCTGTATGTAGTCTTCTGTAACTGTGTTAAGCTAATAAATTTGAGCTCCAGTTGATGTCTTCAATTCTAATCCGTCATCACATGGATCATTCTAACCTCCTTCCCTTGCTTATCTGTAAGTCTCACTCTGTCAGTGAGAAAAGTTGTCCCTGTCGCCTGCTTTACTGTCTACTTAGCTGTTCATTTCCAGCACACATGTATCATGGTATCAAAAATTTTAACTCCCACCTACTCCCGTGGGAATCAGCTTTGTCAATTAGAATACACGCTTCTGTACAGTTTATTTTGCCTGTAGTTTCTACAGACTCCTCTCATTCCCTAGGTCAGCACCTTTCCCCACCCATTTCATCAAGGTTGGTTCCTACCTTTGTAAAACAGTTACATTCTTTGATCACATGCTGCATTCCATCCTGGGAATCTCCCAGTTTCTTCATTTTTTTTTTTTTATTTGCATACTGTAAGGTACACTGTCTGTACTATAAAGTTCTTTGGGATTCAACAAATGTGTAATGTCTCATATTCACCATTATGGTGTCATCCAGAACAGTTTCACTGCCCTAAAAGAAATCCCGTGAGCTTCACCTATCCACCCCTTCTCATTCCACCCGAACTCCTGGCAACCACTGACCTTTACACAGTTTCTACTCTCTGCCTCTTCTGGAATGTTATATAATTGGATTCAGGCAATGTGTAGCCTTTTCAGACTAGCTTCTTTAACTTAGTCTGCATTTAAGATTCGTTCCTGTGTTTTTGTGACTTGGTAGCTAACTTGGTTTGATTGTAGAATGATACCCCATTGTATGAATGGACCATTGCTTGTTTACCCACTCACCTGGGAAAGGACATATTGGTTGCTCCCAATCTTTGATGGTTACAAATAGAGCTACAAGTCTTTTGTCTTGTGATTGTACACTTTCAAAGAAGTGATTCCTTTTTTTTTTTTTTTTTTAAACTTATTTAAAAATATATATTTTATTGATTTTTTACAGAGAGGAGGGGAGAGGGATAGAGAGCTAGAAACATCGATGAGAGAGAAATATTGACCAGCTGCCTCCTGCACACCCCACACTGGTGATGTGCCCACAACCAATGTACATGCCCTTGACCAGAATCGAACCTGGGACCCTTCAGTTTGCAGACTGACGTTCTATCCACTGAGCCAAACTGGTTTCTGTGCAGTGATTCCTTTTTGCTAAAAGGCGTCCAAGTAGAAGCAGGCCTGTGTGTGGGAGAGGAGAATCAAGGGTCACATAGGGTCCTTCTCAGAGAGCCCTCTCTATCCTCTTCTGAATTTGGAGATACAGCAAGTGTGGCCCAGGTCCTACCCCACCCAGAACAGAGGCTGCTTGGGGGACCCAGCCACATCCTACCCTTCCAGTGACAGTCTGAATGCTCTCTGAGCTTGCTCTTGCACGATGGTCCCCATCTTAGTGTCTCACTTGGTTTATCTGATTTTGGAAGGCTCTGCTCTGACCAACGGGGGATTAAACATGCACAGCTCGGTGAAGAGGAAGCTGGACACGGAGAAGGACTACGTCTTTGACAAGAGGCTCAGGTACAGCGTCCGCCAGAACGAAAGCAACTGTCGGTTTCGGGACATTGTCGTGCGGAAGGAAGAGGGGTTCACGCACATCCTGCTGTCCAGTCAGACCTCAGACAACAACGCGCTGACCCCCGAGGTGAGGGGGCAGGATCAGAGGGGAGGGGCAAGCTGGGGAGGGCCTCTCATCCATCAGATTGAGGTGCTGGCTTCTCTCTGTTCTTTTTAGGGGGCCTCTGATGGAAGTAGCCAGCATGCACACAGACACTTGATGGCAGGACACAATTTGCTAATCACTTCTGTGCATTTTCCATTTGATCTTTCTGACGAGGTAACGTTATTGTCCCATTTTACAGATGAAGACACTGGTAAATGGAGAGATTCAGTCAGCTGGTTTGAACTTAGAGGCCTCAGGCTGCATTATAACAAGCAAGTCCAATTTCATTGTTGCAGATGGAATGATATTTACTCAGCTCACTTACATTTTTTGACATATAATTCAAATACCATAAATTTCATCCTTTTAAAATGAACAATTCAGTGATATTTTTTAATATATTTACAAAATTGCACAACCATCACCACTAATTACAGAATATTTCCATCACCCCAAATGGAAACCCCGTACTCATTAGCAATCACACGTTCTCTCTCCCTCCAGCCCCTGGCAACCACTGCTCTACTTCCTGTCTCTGTAGATTTGCCTGTTCTGGGCGTTTCAGAGAAATGGATCATATAGTAGGTGGCCTTCCACGACAGGCTTTCACTCGCATCACGTTTTCACGGTTTGCCCGTGTTGCAGAGTGTTCCAGGGCTTCACACTGAAAATATTCATGGAATGGATGTTTTCCATTTAGTGAATTAGTTCTTCAGCAGAAGGAGATTTGTGTTGGTTCCACTTTGACAATTATGAATAATATCACTGTGAACAATTGTATACACGTTTTTGTATGAACATACGTGTTTTTTTTTTAATTTCTTAAATATATTTTATTGATTTTTTACATAGAGGAAGGAAGAGGGATAGAGAGTTATAAACATAGATGAGAGAGAAACATCCATCAACTGCCTCCTGCACACCTCCTACTGGGGATGTGCCTGCAACCAAGGTACATGCCCCTGATCAGAATCGAACCTGGGACCTTTTAGTCCGCAGGCCGACGCTCTATCCACTGAGCCAAACCGGTTGGGGCTGAACATACGTTTTTAGTTTTCTTGGGTATATTGCTAATTGTGGAATTGCTGAGTGATAAGATAACTAAGTTTATCTTTCAGAGGAACTGCCGAACTGTTTTCCACAGGTACTCACCGTTTTACATTTATACCATCAGTGTGTGAGGATTCTAATTTCCCCACATCCTCCCTGACACTTGTACTTCTAATTTCTCCACATCTTCCCTTACACTTGTTATTGTATCTTTTTATTGTTGTGAGTCCTCACCTGAGGATATTTTTTTCCATTGATTTCTAGAGGGAGGGAGAGGAAAAGAGAGAGAGAAACATTGATGTAAGAGACATTGATTGGTTGCCTCTGACACTTGCCCCAACCAGAGCCAGGGATTGAGCCTGCAACCCAGATATATGCCCTTGTCCAGGAATTGAACCCATGACCCTTCAGTGCGCAGGCCTATGCTCAAACCACTGAGTCACATTGGCCAGGGCTATTGCATCTTTTTTAGTAGTCATGCTAGGTAATTAGATTTTATTAGTTGTGAGGTGGTATCTCGTGATTTTAATTTGCATTTTCCTAATGGGAATCTTTCCATGTGTTTATTGGCCATTTGTCTGTCTTCTTTGGAGAATTTTTATTCCAATCCTTTTCCTATTTTTATTTTTGTCTTTTAAGTTTTGTTTTTTTTATCTTGACACTATTACAGATGTTCCCCATTCTCTCCTTTACCTCCTCCATGTAGCTCCTACCCCTTCTCAAGCCTTCACCTCAATACTTTATTTTTAAAAAATTGGTGTTTTTTTTATTATTGTGTCTTTATTGTTCTTTATACTGTATTCTAGGTACTATAACCTTATCTGATATATGATTTGAAAGTATTCCCACCCATTCTGTGGGTTTTCATTTGATTCTGTATATAGTGTCCTTGGACATAAAAGTTCTGAAATTGTGATGAAGTTCAATTTATTTTTTCTAGGTAACTTTTTTAATGCTATTTATTCTGACATCTGAGATCAGTGGTTGGCAAACTGTGGCTCGCGAGACACATGCAGCTCTTTGGCTCCTTGAGTGTGGCTCTTCCACAAAATATCTTTTGAAGAAGTGGCATTAAAAGAAGTTTAAAAAATTTGGCTCTCAAAAGAAATTTCAGTCGTTGTACAGTTAATATTTGGCTCTGTTGACTAATGAGTTTGTTGACCACTGGCCCAGTATATCCAGTACACTTAGGGAGGCCCAGGTGGGGTGGTGTGGGAATTGCTAAGTCCTTGACCTTGCAATCACCTATCTTATCATAGACTAGGGCTGTTTTATGAAATTGTGGGTGTGACCCTCAGGAATGATGCCAAGTGTAAGAAAAGGGATGTAGCTAAAATCTGTGCAGTTTGTGGGTTTCGTGGCTGCTTGTTGCCCCTCTTTAAAGTATGATGTTCTGGGCTCTCTCCCTATTCCACCTTCAGGAACCATCTGGGGGTTTTGTGCTGGGCAGACCTTTGTGTCAGCTTCAGAGAAGTCCAGATCATGACTTACCTCGAAGGCTGCTCTGTACAAGTTTATACACCTGCAAACCTTGTTATTTTTAAGCTCATCATAAAGCATCCAACTGAGACCAATTCTTGGATTTTTTTTTCTACTTCACTGCTTTTTAAAAGCATGCTTTAAAAGACACAGCATTTTCCTTCGATTAATCGAGTGAGTGTGAAGTCTCCCAGTTCATCCTGGCCCCTTGGAGCCGCCTTGTGTGTGAACTGTTACTCATCATGGAAAATGTGTTGCCTCTAACTGATGTAAGGTGCATCGGTTCTTACCTCCTGTGGGCTTAGTTAATTAGAGGTCCATTTCCAATTGGTGTCTGTTGGTAACAGAATGGTAGAAAAATGGAGAAAAACAACAACACATTGATCTGTTGTTTATAGCTGCTCCAAAACTGTGTGGATTGACTATGGATAAACCAGCAACTGGTAAAGTAGTCCCGAGAGAAAGGTCCTGTTGAAATGAAGAGGTGGTGTTAGTGGAGGAATGTGGACTTTGGAGTCTAGTCCTGCCTGCTGCACCAACTCACCACGTCTGTTACCTTATAGGAGTGTCAAACTCAATCAGAGAAGGGGCCAAAATCTAAAATCCAGCCTAAATCGCGGGCCGAATGGTTTACTGAACAGTCATAAACTGTCATTGTGATGGAAACGCAGCGGAGTGCAGTGATGACAGCATGGTACGGGCCAAATTGCAAGGCCTGGCGGGACGGATTTGGCCCGCGGGCCTTGTGTTTGACACATGTGCCTTAGGAAGTTACTTTGCCTCCCTGAGCTTCCTCACTTTTAGAAGTTATACAGTGTCCTGTTTGTCTGCAAAGAGGCTCACAGAGTACCTGGCACATAGGAGGTATTCGATGGGTGTTCCTGTCATTATTAAGAGGGAACAGAGGCCATTTAATGGCCACCAGCAGACTCAGTCTTGCTCACTCTTGGAGGAACTGGGAGGGCCACCTTCATGTTCATAATTGAATTCCTTTTTCTAATTGACAGTGGCCTCATGGGCAAAAATTCATACATTACTAGGTTTGTTAACTAGATTCTGAGGTCAGTGGGTATGTTGTAATAATTCTCCTCTTTGGAATAAAGCAAAGAACCAGGAAAATAATGGAATGCTCTTTAAGGAAAGAGCCAGCAACTTAGATTGCCCAACGTCTTAGAGATTCAAAGCTCATCTGCTTCCCCATTAGGTGAGGACCCCAAGCCCTCACTCAACTCCTGGTTTTCGCCAGTGCTCAGAGACACACACCAGCATCAAGGGGCACACCTGACACGTGGAGTCAACCCTTGGCCCTCTTGGTCATCCTTCCCTCCCCCCATATCCACAACATCCCCAAGGCCTGTTAACTTGAGTATCTTGAATAGCTCTCAAATGTGTTTCCTCTCAATTTCCTTCATAACCCTTATAGTTCAGACCACTAGGCTGTCTCTTCTGGACTATTATAATAAAATGCTAACAATCTGCCCCTTTTACGTGTCCTGCCTTTTAATCCATTCACCACAGGGTAGGCAGAGTGATCAGTTGAAGAGCTAATCTAATCAAGATACACTTTCTATTGTTAAGAATCAAAAACTGTAATGTGGCCTAGGGGGAGTGATGCATTCTGACCCTGCTCATCTCTTCAGTTCCATCTCTTATCACACCTCACTCTTCTCTCCTCTTGCATTCCAGTTACTCTGGCTTTTTTCCATGCCCACATCTGACCCAGAACCTTTGTATATACTTGTCTTTCTGACCAAAATTTTTTTATTTTCCTTTTAACTTAGCAGACCTTTGCTCTTCATTCAGATCTCAGCCCAGCCATCACTTCTGCCATAGTCTTTCCTCACCTCCTTGACCGGATCAGGTCTTTCATATGCTTTCCTAGCACTGTGCACCCCTGCCTACCAGAACTTATTGCAACTGTTAGTGTGCATGTAATAGTGTGATAATTTGTTAAATGTCTCATTCCTCCCATTAGCCTATAAACTTTTTGAAGGTTGGATACTGTGTCATTCATTCAATTTAATAAATATTTATTAAATCCTAGTATGTGCAAATTTCTGGACTAGGTGTTACAATGGTTAAAGTGCCCTAAACTTAGCATCTTAAGACAACAAACATTTATTATCTCATAGTTTCTATGGGTCAGGAATCCAGTCGTGGCTTAGCTAATGCTTCTGGCTCAGGGTCTCTCATAAGCCTGCTGTCAAGGTGTTGGCTGGGGCTGCAGCCTCATCTAACGGCTCAATAGAGGAGGATCCACTTCCAAGCTTCCCCAGGGTTGGCAGGTTTCAGATCCTCACTGGCCAGAGACATCAGTGCCTTGGTATGTGGCTACTCCACGTGGACTATGAATAACTGCTCCATGCGCTATTCACTAGCTGGCTACATGCTTCCCCCAGACTGAGAGCTCGAAGAAAGGGAGTCAGCAGGAGAAGAGAGCCAGGACAAGCTCTAGTCTCTTTGTATCCAAATCTTCTTGTGAAAGGGACATCCCATTACTCCGCTGTATTCTCGTGGCTGGGAGTGAGTCACTGAGTCCGGTCTACACGCCAGGGCTGGGGATTGCACAGGGGCGTGAATACCAGAGGAAGGGATCACCGAGGGCCATCACTGAGGCTGCCCACACAGGGATTGGAATTAGGTAGGAGGCAGGATTAGCTAAGGATGCACACATGGGACAAGGGAGAGCGTCAGAGCGGGGAGTTTAAATACCTGGGCTGTCAGGAGAAGGAAGAGAGTGCCTTTACTTGGGTACATGTGGGAAGGCCTTCAGGAGGGTGGCTGCAGTGGAGGTGGCCCTGGGAGACTGAGCTCAGCAAGTAAAGATGAAGTGGAGAGGGGTCCCTGATCTCCTCCCATTTCACACCCCTTCGGATGCCTTTGATTATCTGGTTCCAACCCATGGCAGGTCAGAAGCTAGAAGTAGCAGGGGAGGAGGATGCTTTCTCTAGTGGACACCAACAGCAGGGGCGAGTGACAGGGGAATAATTCTCACAAACAGATTTAGGGCTTTAATATGTAGAGAAGTCTGGGAACGTTTGTTCTAGAGGCAAACCCAGGAGCCCCTGAGGGGACCGTTCTGATTCAGGCCAGCAAGTGGCCACCGAGTAGTGACAGCGGCAGTGTATTCTGTGTAAGAAGGTAAAGGAGGGTGATGCTTTTAACACAGTTTACTTTAAACAAACCAGTTACATTATAAAACTCAAGTCCTTCAAGAAGGTCCCCAGCCATCAGTCCAAATTGGATTATCAACATGAGACAGGCAACGGCATAGATAGTATACTCACCAGACACAATTTTTTTTTAAATTAAGAAATGTAGTTTGTACATTTGTTGCATCAACAAAACTCAAATTTGATTTCCATTTAATTCACAAAGGAGGTGGCTGCTGCGTTTGATTTTGTGTTTTTACTAATTGACAAGCAAGTGTGACCTCAGAGAGAGACTACTCTCTGAGCCATGAGTAGATTCACGCCTTACAGCAGGTTCACGTGTGGGTCAGATTGTCTGCTTTTAGAGGCAGATACATGAAAAGACCCACAAGATATTGGCCTGTTACCTTTTTTGATGTTCAAAATGGGTTCCTGTGGCTTACACCCTGTGAGAGTGGAAAGTGGTTCTCCGTCCCTCCCACAGAGCACTCATAGGCCGGCAGATGCTGATTCAGACGGACGTCTAGCTCTGTTTATTCACCCAAATACATCCGTTTATTTAAGTCACCCTACAGTGTGGAGCAGTAGAAAGAGAAGGAGTGTTGGAGTAGATTTGCATCGTGGTTTTGCCTGTTACAGGTGACCTTGGACAACCTCACTTCTCTGAGTTTTCCTTGCTCTACCTATAGAATCAGAATGCCATTCCTTTCTTCCAGGATTTCTGTTTGGAATAAAATATCGTGTGAAAATTGCACTGATACCTCTCAGTGCTTAACAAATGGGGGCTCCCTAAAAAGTATATTTAAAAAACACACACAATACTTTCAGAACATTTCAACACTGTATCCTATGATTATGCCTATTGAATAATCAATAATGATTCTTTAAGCCTGGTTGGTGTGGCTCAGTTGATTGGGTGTCATCCCATGTCTGAAAGGTTGCTGGTTCAATTCCCAGTCAGGGCACATACCTGGGTTGTGGGCTTGATCCCTGATAGGAGACAATGTTCTTCTCTCACACAGATGTTTCTCTCTCCCTTTCCCTCTTGCTAAAAATCAATAAAAATTTTTTTAAAATAAAATAAAAGCCTATTTACTTATTGTCTCCCCCAAGGCACTCTCAGCTTTACCCAGGTAAGTGCATGCCTTGTTTTCTCTTATCATACTCTTTCTGAACTTATTTTTTCTTTTCTCATAACTTCTGTTGGATTGAGTGATTGAGCTTTCTTTATGTACTTTAAAGAAGTTATTCATGAGTTATGTTCACATAGTAAAACCTAAATGTAATCATTACTAGATACATAACTTAGGTATGCTCTAACTCTGGTCACCCCTTCTCTCATCTGACACAATATTAGTGCCCAGGACCATAGATCTACCTTGTGCACCCCCCATTAGTCAATATTAGTATGGTGATTTTTATCATCGGCTCTTATATTGATTTATTAACATATTCACCAGTTTCTTTAGTGGCTTTGTTCCTTGAATGTCAGGTTTTGTGGCTTTTTTTTTTTTTTCTCTTCTGAGTATAATTTTCTTCTTGAAGTGCATCCTTTTTTAGTTCTTTCAGTGAGAGCCTAAGTGTGGTAAACATTCTCTAATTGAAAATGCCTACTCTTTACCTTTGCTTTTGAATGATAGTTGAGCTAGACACAGAATTTATGTTGGATGGTTATTTTTTTGGTACCTTGAACATTTTATGGGTCTGATGGCAAAGCCCACTTCTCGTCCATAAGCTGTGTAAGGGTCTTTGTTGAATCAAGGATGAGCAAGAGTATAGAATTAATTTGGCTTTTTAGAGATGGCTTACATAACTCACCTACTGTGAGCAGGAATTTCCCCCCTCGCCTTGAAAAGGGCTAACCAAGCAAATGCTGGAAGATTTGCAGAGTTACCAGGGAGTAAAGGACTCCAAGCCAGGCTTCCAAGTCTGCAGCCAGTGACCCCTCTGCCTCTTCCATAGCCTTCTGTGCCTGCTTCAAGGAGGGTGTAGGGGAGCTCTGGTTTTGCTGTTTCTTTGCGACATCTGGACATGGCTCAAAATCAGGGGAGGCTCCCTGCTCAGACAGAGCACATTTACTCACTTCTGCCCTGGCTTCCAGACAGACACTTAACATCTCCACAAATCCTTATCTGCCCGCAGATCATGAAGGAGGTCCGGCGAGCCCTCTGCAATGCGGCCACAGATGACAGCAAGCTGCTACTCCTCAGTGCGGTGGGCAGCGTGTTCTGCAGCGGCCTGGATTACTCCTACCTAATTGGCCGGTTGTCCAGTGACCGGCGAAAGGAGAGCACCCGCATTGCAGAATCCATCAGGTGAGCTGTGCTCCTGTTCGGACACTGGGGGTCCCGCCTAGGATTGCCAAATTGAGCACACAAAAATACAGGCTGCTCAGTTAAACTCTTCAAACAACAAATAATGTTGTTGTTGTTTTTAGCATAAGTATGTCCCATGCAAAGTTTGGCATATACTTACAGTAAAAAATACTTTGTTGTTTATATGAAATTTGGGAGTTTGATTAGATGTCCCATATTTTCCTGCCCAAATTAGGGATGCTTTTACTCCATAAGATTTCACTTTATTCTTTTGATCCCCCAAATATTTTATTTTCTTATATTCAGCCCTGCACCTGGTAATGCCCATCATTATCCACACTTCTCCTGCCCTCTGTCTGAGGGTGAAATCTTTGACTTTCTGGGCAGTTCTGTTCCTGGAGCTGACATGGCTCAACACCGGGGAGGAGGATGAATGGGTTCCCTGGGCGGTGTGGGAGTATTTTCCTCTCTCTTGTTGCCCTTGGGTGATATATGATCCCCACAGTCAGTATCTCTTTTGGGACACTAACGGGCAGTTATGGCCCCCTTCTTTAGAGATTTATCAAAAGCAGGTGAGCTCCTGTGATTTCCAGCAAGGTCTGCCAGAGTGCACCCTCACTCACTGCTCACCTCAGACAGGAGTCACAGTTCAGTAATGCTGCCTGGTCTCTTGAGAAGGAACACTTATTCCACAGGCTGTCAGGGAGCCTTGGGCTACAGGTTAGGGATTTTTCTGGACCTTCCAGTCTCACTGTGTGGTGACATCGTCACACGGAGGCTGATTCCCAGGAGGCTGTGAGAGCTTTCAGGGTATGCAGAGTCTCCAAGAGATGGCACGGGGATGGCCTCACACACACGTGGGGTTCTGAGTCCCAGTCACGGTGACGCATTCCCTGGAATCTATGCTCCAAACACCTGTGTGCTTCCTGCTGCAGAACTCCTGTCTCCCCCAAAAGAGACACGGAAAAACCAATGATGTTATTAGAAAAGCATGTGGTTTCATGCAGCTCTCAGGCTCTCTGGGTGCAGACAGGCCTGGCCATGGCCACGGTGGTTTGTTCTCTGCTCCTGTCAGGCAGCAGGGGAGCAGCAGGTCCCTAGTAAGCCTCCTTCCTCATTTATGGGACCATTGGAGATGGGGTGCCCATCTCTATAGCTGAGGAGCACCTTGGCCGTAGCCTTTGTCTGGTTCAGTGGTTGGCAAACTGGGGCTCAGGAGCCACATGCGACTCTGGCCCCTTGAGTGTGGCCCTTCCACAAAATACCACGTGTGGGTCTGATTGAAACTCTGTGGCCCATGCGCAGAAGTCAGTTTTCGTCCAAAAGAAATTTCAGTCGTTGTACTGTTGGTATTTGGCTCTGTTGACTAATGAGTTTGCCAACCACTGGTCTGGTTTATGAATTTCTACGGAGGCATTAGCTGATTTCTAGAGGTCCCAATTTTGAGGAGATGCCGAGCACATTAGCTCACCACTGAAGAAAGGCAGCCAGTGGCACTAAAACATTTGCCTTCTCATCGGGAAGGTGAGTTTCTCTTAGGCAGAGTGGAGGGAGAGAGGGCTGTGGGAATTCTTCCCAGTGTGTCAAAGGGAGCAGAAGCTCGAAATTCATGAGCCACCAGGGACACAGGAGGGATGGGGAATGGGGTGTCCCCTAGGCCATGGGATCTCAGCCCCAGCAGCACAGAGACTCCCCAGGGAGCTTTTCAAAACCCAGCTGCTTGGCAGCACCCCCAGGAGATTCTGAGTTAATGAGTATGGGGTGGGGACGGCATAGCTTTGGTTTTAAAGTCCCCTCTGTGGTTCGAATGTGCTCCATCCCAACCAAGATGGTAATCTGAGAGCACCAGAGACTGAGAGCACTAAAAGTTGTAGAAACAAAAAGGTCCCTATTTTTATGCAAGAGAAGAAAGTTGGCTGTAAGAGAAGAAGGTGAAGAGGAAGGTGATGGAAGGGACAGGGAGGGTGAGAGTCTCAAGAAGAGACAGGTGAGGCGCAAACCGTATGCCTAGTAGAGAAGGGTGTCCCTGGGTCAGAAAGCATGACTTGCTATTCACCACCACACCCCTCCAGGGAGGCCCAGCTCCGCTGACTTTGTAGTGCTCCCTCCAGCAGCCACACTCCAGAGTTGGGGCCACGATGTGGCAGAGAAACATTTCCCAGAGAACGATCTTCAGGTTTCCAGAGGAGCGTTGTGAGCAAAGGGCACTGTCTTAACTGAGTTTGGGCCACGCTAGACTTTCTGTCCCCGCTCACACAGACTTCCCAGGCATGTTAATGTATTTATAACCAGAGACGTTTCTTGGGAAAGAACGTTGCTGAGACATATTTTAGCCATGGAACCTATAACCTATTGAGATGCCTCGCAGTTCTCCTGGGACGTGCATGCGCTGGGCTGCGCTACCTGCAGGATCCTGAGCACGCCACACGGCCACGGCCATCGCTCCCCCAGCGGTGCTCCTCCACACAACCTGGTGCACTGCGCTCACTCTCTGGATGTTTGCTGCATGAACTAGCCGATGTGGGGGAGCTGGGGTGATCCATTCTGCAGAAGCCTCTCCCCAAGCCCCAAACAAAGCCGTCTGCCCCATCTTGAAAGAGGCTGCCCGCAACGGAACTCCTCACAGGTGGTGTGGTGGCCTGCTGGCGGGGTGCTGGGACAAAGAGCGATCAGATGACCCACATGCAAAACTTGGCCTGTTCCTGAACATAATAAGTACTTGGAAGAGGTGTAAAGAATTATTTTCACATTATTCCCAGTTTTAGCTAAGCCTGAGTCTAACGATGGAGTGGGCTCCCGAAGTGCCCCATACATCAGGAGCTCACAGGCCCTGGACCAGCAGAGGGAGGGCTTCACCCTGTGGCTCTGGTTAAAAGGAATGAATAACTTGGTTTACAAAAGCAATGTTAGTGCTCCTGGTAAAATCCAGACACCCCTGTGAGCAGAATTTTGCTTCTGAGTCTCCTTTATACCAGAAGGTGGCTCACAGACAACTGAATGTGGAATGAGAGCTGCAGCGATCACGGGTGCCTCTGTGTCAGGCATTGTGCCAGTGCCCTGGGTGGATGCCTCATGCAACTCTCATATGGCCTGTGGGGATACACCAGTGGCTTTCCCATCTTCCTAGTAAGAAAATGAGGCTGCAGAGACTGTGTAACTCATCCAAGATCTCACTCCACTTACGAGCACATTTGATACTTGACTGCAAGTCTTTCAGATCCCAAAGTTTTTGCTCCTTCTGCTGCCTCTGAACAGCCCAGCAGCTCAGGCAAGCAAAAGCCATAGGACTCAGGTTGAGTGGAGGAAGCTTCAAGAGCCAGGGTAAGCGTGGCAGACATGGCTGCTGGGGAAGGCGGGGAGTCATCTCCCTAGCGCAGCCCCGCCATCCAGAATCAGATATCTGAGCAGCGTCTGTAATGCAATATCCTGTTTTCTATCTGGCTTCTACACCCTCCGGGCCCTTGTGATAGAGATCTGCTTGAGGTGAGAGGAGAAGGATAAGGAGATGGTCTGGGCATCATCTTTTTATGTCAAGGAAATGAATTGCTTGAGGTCAGTGGGAGCCATTCACATTTAGTCCCTCAGCCCTTCTCTGGGGTCCTTGATGACCCTGCATGGAGCTCAGGTTGGAAACCAAAGAGTAAAAGGCTCTGGGGTCTGGAAGGGAAAGCTTCTGGAAGGTCGTGAGAGTGGAGCTGAATTCCTGAAAGACTGTCATGTGGATGATGGAGCAGAGTGAATGCAAGTATAGAGAGACCACATGAAGTCACAATAGGAAGGCGTCTTAATAGGGAAGGACCCTCTTGTTTGAAGGTGTCCAACAGAGGCCAGAGGATGTGGGGAGAATTCTGTACCAAGTGGAATATTTGTCTCGATGACTCTTGAAGTCCTTCCCACTCTGAGATCTAGGATCCTGTATATTTGAGTGAGGGTCTTCAGGAATTGGAATGTCTGTCAAAAATCACCCAAACCCTGTGGGTCCAAGGGGCTGTAAACCAGCCCCATATCCCTGAAGACTCCAAATTGCATTTGGTAAAAAGCACCTGTTAAAACCAGTAACTGAGACCATTAGGTTGAGAAATCAAGCCAGGAAGTGGGCCTGGAAAACCAGAAATCAGAAGGCCATGGTGACAACATTCTTCTTTGTGGCAGTGTCCTTTTGGGGTCAGGTGCAGTGGGGCCAGAAGTGGCTGGGATAACTCCATCATGTACTCACAGAATCATACAAGAGTCAGGAAATGTGATGCCTCAAGCCTGGGTCATTCTTTCATGAAGACATATGGGTCATAAGGCACCCCCAACTCCGGCAGAATATTAAGAAGTCTCTCACAATTGAATTAAATCCCAACATATAATGATTGTAACCACATATTTTGATAAGAATTGGGGAGGGTGGTAACCATTGATCAGGGATGAATCAGATTTACATTTGTATTGGTTAAGTATTAGCTGCTGTAACAAATAAACCCAAATATATATGATGGCTCAGTTGTGATAGAAATTTACTTCTACTATATGCGAACCTAAAATAGATGTTACTGATGAGCCCTTGGCTTGCCTCAAAGTGATGACTCAGGAACCCAGACTCCCTCTATCTTATTGCTCAATAAGATTGCCATGCCCATCAAGATGAAAAGGACTGGGAGGATTGCATGGTGAGAGGTTTCCACAAACCAGGCTTAGAAGTGCGTATATGATTTTCACTCACATTCCTTTGGCCAGCACTAGGTTACTTGGCCACAGCCACTTTCAAGGGAGGCTGGGAAATGTGTTCTAGCAGTAGATTCAGGAAGAAGAAGGAAGGGGAAGTGGGGGGATAAAGTCTGGTGAAGAAATAGTATGTTATTGCCACACATCTGTAGTATTTGCTCTCATTCTGGGAGAATCCTGTATCTATTCAACAGCTATTTACTGAGTGTTAATATCAATATTATTGTATGAAACCAAGCAGTGCACAAAGCAGACCTATAGATTTTCATAGGGAGCTGTAGGGGAGGAGAATTTAAAAACAAGCAAGCAAGTGATTAAGATAATTGCAAATTGCGATAATGCTATTTTCCAAGAACTCTCAGAAGGGCTGTGTAGCTCATGCACAGAGAGCAGGGGTGCATAGACACAAGATCAACCTGGAGACCTAAGCAGAGGTAGACCAAGGTCATGGTTGGAAGTTGGAATTTTATTCTTGTGAATTCTTGGTAGTTTCCAATGTATCACTAGAGAATAATGAAGGATGCAGATTTTCTAGACACCTTGGATCTTTCTTCCATGTCAGATTGAATATTAAAATTTCATAGGTCTTATATAGCCAGTAGCAGGGAGGCAAAAAGTGTCTAAGGTAAAGGAAATAGAAGTTATTTCGGGTGGCTCTGCATAATGGATAAAGATGCAGGCTGTACCCTTGCTCAATGCAGAAGGTCATGGAGAGAAAATGTTGCCTAATCCTGTAGCCATTATTTCAGATGCCTCATGCCTTCAGGGGAGTCCAGCATCTTTCCTCAATTTTGGTCATCCTAACACATAGACCCTTGTCAGCATTCTAGAACTACCCTTGAGAATCTGGCATCCCTTTAGGTAATTTACAATCTTTCCTGGAATTGAAAGACATCTTAGATGTCATCAATCCTTACCCATGCCCACCATTCAAAGCTTGAATTCTCTCTATAATTTCATCTAAAGTTATCATCGAGCCAAGGCTATTTCCGATAATGAGGAGTTCACACCTCCTGGAGTCATCACCCACCTTCAGCCAGTGCTGTTGGAACATTCCTTCTCTCCTTGAGTTCAAATATGCCTCTTTGTAACACCCTCTCTTTGGGTCGGTTCTGGTTCTGTATATTAACATTCAGGTTGTCTTTCTAGGGATATGTACAGTTTTTTGTCAGTGTGTAGGGAGTAGAAGGGCAGTGTTAGCTCAATAGGCATGACCTAGGGCCGTGTGGGCAGACCCTGACAAGTGGTCACCCATTAGGTCCCCTCTGGGAAACTGGCACCAACCTCAGAGGGTGGCATGCCTGTGACTGCAGCTCAGTGGCCCAGCGTCTGGGAGAATGAGACCCTGTCCTGGCACCTGCTCTTCTCTGAGGACCTACAGGTGCTTCACTGCACCTGGGGAAGCTATTTCAGCCTCACTACAATCAAGGGCATCACATGATCTCAGCAAGCCTGGCCACCTGTTAAAGAGGGTCTTCTCTTTTCCCCAGGGACTTTGTGAAGGCCTTTATCCAGTTTAAGAAGCCCATCGTGGTGGCAATCAACGGGCCCGCCCTGGGCCTGGGTGCCTCCATCCTGCCCCTCTGCGACATCGTGTGGGCCAGCGAGAAGGCCTGGTTTCAGACCCCCTATGCCACCATCCGCCTCACGCCCGCCGGCTGCTCCTCGTACACCTTCCCCCAGATCCTGGGTGTCGCGCTGGTAAGCCTCCTCGTAAGCAGGCAGAGTGGTGCTCAAGCAAGGTCATAGAACCCACTGTAGGCTGTGGTCCGACTCTACACCAGCAGCCAGAAGCAAGTTTGGGCAGGGGTGAGTCTTGAGAGCTCAGAGAGGCCATGGTGACAACACCCTGTGCCACCATCTGCATAGGGTGGGGCTAGTGCTTGACAGCCATTAACTCAGTTTATCCTCAAGACACACCTGTAAGGTAGGACTACTGTTATCCCCTCTTGACAGAAGTGGAGACTAAGAATCACAGAGGTTAAGTGAATTGTCTCAGGTCACACAGCAGCAATGGAAGTTGTGGAATATGAACACAGACAGAGCCTGTGCTCTTAACCAGTATGCTATAAAATGGAACCAATCTCTGATGAGTGAGTCTGCGACTAGCACCACTAGGATATAGGAAGGGTTCAGAAAGTGGTTGGTCTACTGTGTCTGAGAGGTAGCATTTTGAGATGGATTCGATGTGGTGCAGCCTTCACCAAGGTCTGTTTCAGTCCCCCAGGACTGCTTGGGAACATTCTTCCTGCAGATGCTGGTGGTCCTGGGAGACCCCAGAAAACTACCAAAGAATCACCATCCAGGTAACAGGGCCAAACCTCACAGGAGCGAGTGAGGAGGCTCCCAGCGGGGGCACTGCTTGAATGAGTCTAGAAGGATGGGAGCCGCCCTCCCACCACTTCTGAGTGGGCTGTCTCTCTTTGATGAAGCATGAAGCAGGAATAGCAACCAAGAGACCAGCAGAGGTTACCCTCAGCCCTCAAACCCACCAGCACCATGTCTATGCAGCAGGGCCTGCAGTGGGGACAGATAAGGCCATTCGGACTCAGCAGTGCTCTGGGGGCTGCTCCAGGCTGCTCAGTCTCATGGGCGGCAGAAAAACGAGGCAAGCAAGGAGCCCGGGAATCAACACTTTCCCTTTTGATCTCAGCCACCGTGTTCTGCCCCAGCTCACTACCACTCCAGTTCCTCCCCGTCCTCTGTGGTCACAGAAATGTTAACTTTGTATAGTCTTATCTCTTCTTTCCTTCTTCATTGCAATCATTTCTGAAACTCCAAGAATGTGGCTGTTGGAGACATGTTCTTCTTGTAGACTGCATCCTGTTTGGCTCCTACTGAGTTCCTTTCATTTCTCCTGAGACCGAGGTGTTCCTAAATAAGTATAATGACATATATGTTTGTCTTCCAACCTCTAACCAAATGCATTCTATGGACTTGTGACCTGACCAAGTTTTCCACTCTGGAGTGCAAAATTGTCCTGTGGGTCACCATGACCCATCAGTGACAGCCAGAACAAAGGGGGAAGCAGGGACTCATCATCCTGAAAGAGATAAGGACCCTGTCACATGGCCATGGCCATCACGCCCTAATTATCAGTGTGAGAGTCACCTGTTGGTAAATTTCAGCGGTGACAGCACTATGCTCTGTTTGTGCCCAGGCCCTTATCCACGCATGTCCTCCCAGAAGTCTGACAGCTGTGAACTCCAAACCAAAAGGAAGTTTTTTGGGGAGTGGGATGCAGAGGAGCCCTCAGAAGGCAGGGGTTACTTTCCACCTTTCAAGACTGGGCAGTGTCTGTGCACAGCCCTGGGCCACCAGGAGAGACACTGCTCTGTGTTGGAGTTGTGGCGTTAGTTACACAAGACCCTTTTGGCTGTCTGTGATGAAAACACTGCCTTAAGGGGAGCAGGGGGAGGAGCATGATTTCCATAACTGACAAGTCCAGAAGTGGAATGCCCCAGGTGGGTGATGGGTCCAGGAATTCAAGTACTGTCAGTTCTCCTGTCCTCCATCCTTCCTTCATTGTGGACCTGCCTCTCCCCAGAGCGGGGACACAGCAGTCGGTGGCCCGAGCTCACTGACTTTTGCCGGCAACCAGAGAAGGAGAAAGATACTTCCCCAGAGCCTTTAGCTTGGAAACCCCATAGAGAGCTTGATTATCTAGGGTGGATCATCTGGTCGACCCCAGGCCAGTCACTGTGCAGCACCGAAATGCACCCAGTTGGAGGTGTGTGCCTATTTCTGTGGGTCTGCTGCCAGACATGTAAATGGGGGGTAATTGGGCACACAAAGCTACAGTAGTTACATGGCTTCTTTGGGAATTTAATAAAATCCGTGGACTCTATGCTCAGAAAGATGCACATAAACACTGTTTGATTATAGTTTCCAAAGCTTATTGGACCCGGTTGAGGCTTGGGCCTTCCAGACCTGGAACACTGACAGCAAGTGCGGGCCTCGCTAGCAGACACAAGAGGCGCTCCGGGCTCTCAGCCTTCCCCTGCCTTTGCTTTTTCAGGCCAATGAGATGCTCTTCTGTGGGCGGAAGCTCACTGCCCAGGAGGCTTGCAGCAGAGGACTGGTGTCCCAGGTCTTCTGGCCAACCACGTTCAGCCAGGAGGTCATGCTGAGGGTCAAGGAGATGGCGTCCTGCAGTGCACTGGTGAGTCCTGTGTCTCTGTGTTCTCGTCAGTGCAAGAGCTCAGCCGGTGTAGGTCAGTGGTTGAGCATTGACCTATAAACCCAGCACAGAAAGTGTCCCCTGGCCTTGTTCATGGTCAAGGCACATGCTCAGGTTGTGGGCTTGATCCCCAATAGGGGGCATGCAGGAGGTAGCCAATCAATGATTCTCTCTCATTATTGATGTTTCTCTCTCTCTCTCTCTCTCTCTCTCTCTCTCTCTCTCTCTCTCTCTCTCTCTCTCTCTCTCTCTCTCTCTCTCTCTCTCTCTCTCTGTCTCTCTCTCTCTCTCTCTCTCTCTCTCTCTCTCTCTCTCTCTCTCTCTCTCTCTCTCTTTCTTCCTCTCTGAAGTTACTTAAAAAACGAAGAGAGAGATCCATTTTGCAGATGAAAGCAGTGAGCTGACAGGGACTAATGGACTTGCTACAGGCCGTGCAGGGAGTACTTGAGAGGCCCTGTGTAATTCACCTGATGCCTTGTCTCAGTGTTGAAAGCATAAATCCGGAGGGAGACGGCCAGCATTATTAGTATTCCCCATCATCTCCAATTTGAAAAACCTCACAGAAGAGATTTATACTCTGGGGAAGAAGGCATTGCCTTAAAAGAAAGTCCTCTACACTCCCCAGACACAAAACATGTATAGTTTTCAAAGAAACAATAAGCAAAGGCAAATAAGGGCAAAGTGTATGAAACCAGCGGAGGGACGGGAGGAAGCAGCCCACACGGTCCTTGTATTTCCCTGCCCACTGGGCACTTGGCACATTCAAGCATTGCCGCTGGACTCTGAAGACACACTGAAAAATAGATAAATAAATGACACCTCCTCAGAGGTGCCGATTTTTAACTAAGTGTTGATTTTATCTCATAAAAGTCACTCTGAGCATGGTGTGGAAATATCCTGTTGAGAGGTGGAAGAAAGGCCGCCCCTGCAACCACAGGGCCTGCTCAGGAAATGAGAACAAAGCTTCGAAGAACAAGGGCAGGGGACACTTTCTGTGCTGGGTTTATGGGGTCAGACCTGTGACCCTCCCTCCCTTCTCCCTGCTTCTCCTGAACCCCCACAGAGCTGCTGTGCACTCCTGATTGGACTCACCAGCCTTTATTGGGCACCTACTGTATGTAAACTCTGCGCCCTGGAAGCATGACTGTGCCAGAGGTGGTGATGGGTGGTGATAGTCCTGAATTGCTCATGAACACTTACCATGGATTCTCTTTATATGGATTCTCTTTAAATATTCTCGAGGATTATGGAGACTACCCTGGTTTTAACACTGAAAACCCCTTGTTCCCAGGAAACCCCCTGGTCCTAGGCAAATGGGGATGGTTGATGACCCTAGAGTCAGCTGCATAGGCAGGTAGACATTTTAAAGAATATTTTAGTTAAAGTATAGTTGACATACAATATTATAATAGTTTCGGGTAAACAACATAAAGATTCTACATTTATATACCTTACAAAGTGATCACCCCGATAAGTTTAGTATCCCATCTGTCAACATACAAAGTTATTATATTATTGTTAATTTAGTATCCCATCTGTCAGCATACAAAGTTATTATAATATTATTAATTCTTCCTGTGCTGTAATTAATTACATCTCCCTGGCTTATTTATTTTATAACTGGTAGTTTGTACCTCATATCTCCTTCACTTTTTTCACCAATCTCCCTATCCCATTTTCTCTGGGCAACCATCAGTTTGTTCTCTGTATCTGAGTCTGTTGTTATTGTGTATTGTTTATTCTTTGGTTTTGTTTATTTTTTATTTGTGTTTTTAATTTTTTAATTAGTTTTGACATTCAGCATTATTTTATACTTATAAGTATAAATAGAATATAAGTATAGAATAGAAGATTTGTGCAAGAATAGGCCTTTCTTCCCCTGGCTTTCGCTCCTGGCCGCCCAGGAGCCTGCAAGTCCTCACTCCTGGCCACAGCGCCACTCCTGAAACTTCCTCTGCTCCCTGCCCTCTCCCTCTCAGCAGGCATCCCACCCCATCCTGTTGTTCTGCACCTGCGTATGCAAATTAACCCATCCTCTTTGTTGGGTTAATTTGCATACTCATTCCTGATTGGTTGATGGATGTATAGTCAATTTGCATATTTCTCTTTTATTAATGTAGGTTCGTTTTAGGTGTACCACATAGTGTTTAGACACTTGTGTAATTTATGTAGATATTCGCCTGATAATCACTTGTCACCATACATAGTTATAATACTAGAGGCCTGATGCACAAAATTCTTGCAAAGGGGCTCAGCCCTCGCAGCTGCAGCAACTGCCTCAGTCCTCACAGCCCGGCTTTGTCCATAAGGATGTCTGGAAGGACCACTGTCCGGTTTAATTAGCATATTATGCTTTTATTATTATAGATTATTGACTGTATTCCCTATGCTATACTTTATATCCCTGTAACTATTTTGTGAGTACCAATTTGTACTTCTTAATCCTTTTACCTTTTTCACCCAGTCCCTCAACCCTCTTCCCATCTGCCAACTATCAGTTTGTTCTCTGTATTTCTGAGTCTGTTTCTGTTTTGTTTATTTTTTTCTTTAGATTCCACATATAAGTGAAATCCTATGGTATTTATTTTTCTCTGATTTACTTCACTTAGCATAGATACCCTCTAAGTCCATCTATGTTGTTGCAAATGGTGATACTTCATCCTATTTATTGCTGAAGAATATTTCATTGTGTGAGTATGTGTATAATCTTCATTATCCATTCATTTACTGTTGGAATCCTGGGTTGTTTAATATCTTGGCTATTTAAATAATACTTCAGTGAATATAGGGCTGCATATATCTTTTAGAATTGGTTTTTTTTGTTTCTTTGAATATATATCCAGAAGTGGAATTGCTGGGTTGTATGGCAGTTCTGTATTTAAATTTTTTGAGGAATCTCTATACCACTTTCCGAAGTGGCTACACATTTTATAACCTCACCAACAAAGCATGAGGGTTCCCATTTCATCATATCCTCACTTACACTTATTTGTTGGCTTTTTAGAAATAGCAATTCTGACCGGTGTGAAGTGATATCTCATTGTAGTTTTGATTGTATTTTCCTGATGATAAGTGATTTTGAGCATTTTTTTCATGTGTCTTTTGGCCATCTGTATGTCCTCTATGGAGAAATATCTAGTTAGGTCCTCCGTCCATTTTTTAATTGAATTGTTTGTAGGGTCTTTTCTGTGTGTGTGTGTGTTAAACTGTGAGTTCCTTATATATTTTTAATATTTACCCCTTACCAGATGTAGCATTTGTGAATATCTTCTTCCATTCAGTGGGTGGTCTTTTCATTGATGGTTTCCTTCTCTGTGCAAAAGCTTTCTAGTTTGATGTAATTTCATTATTTATTATTATTATTATTTTTTTACTTTTGCTTGTGTTGCCTTTGCTCAGGGAGACATATCCAAAAAATATCTCTAAGACTGATGTCTGAATGTTTACTGCCCAAGTTTTTTTTCCTAGGAGTTTTATGGTATTGAGTTTATGTTTATATATGGAGGGAGGAAGGTGGTCCATGTTCATTTTTTGCATGTATCTATCCAGTTTTCTCCAACACCATTTATTGAAGAAACTGTCATTTCTTCATTATATATTCTTGCCTCTCTTGTTGTAGATTAATTGACCATAGAATTGTGGGTCTATTTCTGACTCTCTGTTCTGTTCCATTGAACTATTTGTTTTTGTGCCATTGCTATACTATTTTGATTACTATAACTTTATAGTGTAGTTTGAAACCAGGGAACATGATACCTCCAACTTTGTTCTTATTCCTCCAGATTGTTTTGTGGTTTTATATAAAGTTTAGGATTATTGCCCTGGCTGGTGTGGCTTGATTGGTCAGGCATCGTCCTGTGCACTGTAGGGTTGTTGTTTGATTCCTGGTCTGGGCACATGCCTGGATTGCAGGCTGAAGACACGGTAGGGGAGGCAGCTGATGTTTTACTCTTACATTGATGTTTCTCCCTCCCTCTCTCTGTCTTTCTCTCTCTTCACTCTCTGAAAATAATAAAATTATTTTAAAAAGTTCTTTTAAGATTATTGTTCTAAGTCTAGGAAAAATGTCATTGGCATTTTTATAGGGATTGCATTAAATCTATAGATTGCCTTGGATAGTATGGGCATTGTAAAAATGTCAATCCTTCCAAACCATGAGCATGGTCTATCCTTCCATTTATTTGTGTAATCTTCAGTTCTTTCATCAATGTCTTAAGAGTTTTCTGAGTAAAGGTGTTTAATCTCCTTGGTTAAATTTATTCCTAGGTATTTTATTCATTTTGATGCAATTGTAAATGGGATTGTTTTTAAAGATATAGAAATGCAATGTATTTCTGAATATTAATTTTGTGTCTTGCAACCTAACTGCATTCATTTATTAGATCTAACAGTTTTATGGTTTTTCATATATAACATCAGGCCATCCACATACAATGACAAATTTTACTTCTTCTGTTCCAATTTGGAGAGGCAGGTAGAAATACTAAGAAGAAGCAGCAGTGTGAGTTAGAGCACACGAGTTCCAAACCTATGGGGAAGTAAGGTGGCAACTCACGGTGGTGTGAGCAGTTGCCCAGGGCAATCAAAGGACAAAGTAGGAAAAGGAGGTGGGAGAAAGGCCTCCAAGCCCCAGGAGTTGGGTCTTCGGGCAATGGAGGTTTTCAGGTGAAACCAGCTGTTAAATATGGCAAGGAAATCTCTCCTATTGATGTTTATGAATTCAGGAGCTTTGGGTTGATTTCCCCAAGAAGGGACTCTACCCACAATCTCTGGTGTTTTTCAGAGGAATTCTTGGGAGGAAAGAGGCAGCCTTGGCTTGCCAGCCCATCCTCACTTCCTGTTAGCCTCTAGCCCAGGCTGAAGAATACGATCCCCGAATGCTGGAGCAAGGGAGCTCTTGTCTTGCTTTGTTCTGTGTGAACACGCTTTTGGAGAATGGGAACTGAAGTTCTGACATCAGCAGAGGATGGTGGAGGCTAAAGGAGGGGTGCTCGGATGCTGCACTTCCCAGCAGGGCCTCTGCCAGAATGAGGCGGCAGTGCAGCCTGTTAGAACCAGCCAGATGTTTGCAGCCATGTCCATGAGGCATCTCTGGCAACTTCACTTGTTGAGTGCAGGTCCTTCATCTCTCCTGTGGAGACTACTTAGTCATGGAGCTATCATGAGCAAGAAATGACAGAATGAAGTAAAAGTACTGCTCATAGACTTTATTGGTTAATGGTGATTGTAGTGGATTGGTATTATTAACACCATGATGACTATAATTGTTACTATTCATTACTATGATTATTGTTACTATTATTACCACTGCATTACTAATAATCATTACTGTAATTACTGCTATCATGCTATAGTACTGTTAGTATTGTCACCATTATCACTACTATGTTACTGACATTATTACTATTGCTCCTTTAACATTACTACTATTATTACTTCTATAATACTACAGTTTTACTATTATTTTTATTCTTACTATTCTCGCTCATTACCACAATTATTGTAATTATACTCATTATTACAGTGTTTGCTACCATTATTACCAGTGCTCTTACTACTAAGCTTGAAGGAGAGGCATTTCTGCTGAGGTGGCTCAGATGGATGCTTGGACAACCTTTAGTTCATGTCATTACCTTACTCTGTGACCCCAACCATCCCTGAGCTAGGTATCATTACTGCCCTCTCACAGATAGTGAGAATGAAGCAGAAGGAGGTGAAAGTAGTGTTTTCTAAACATTTTCATGACACCATAGAAAGCGATACGAATTTATGTTGCCCTTGGTTAAAAATCAAAGCTCTTGGGGTTGGGGATGATGTGGGCTCCACTCAGTCATTCCAGGGACTGTGGGCTCAACATCATAGCACACCTGGAACCCATTCCTGGCATTGCTGGGGACACAGGCCTGGGAAAACCAGGCTGCAGTAGGCAGCCTCCTCTGCCTTTGGGCATCAGGAGGTTGACTGGTACCTCACAAGACACGTGTGTTCTTCTGGAGCAGAGTCCCTGGTGCCTAGCTAACAAGGCCTGTGCCTTTCCCTTCAGGTGCTGGAGGAGTCGAAATGCCTTGTCCGCAGCTTCCTGAAATCGGTGCTTGAAGATGTGAATGAGAAAGAATGCCTCATGCTGAAGCAGCTCTGGAGTTCCTCCAAAGGCCTGGATTCCTTGTTCAGCTACCTGCAGGACAAAATCTACGAAGTCTGAAGGGCCCTGGCTCACTTGCCACAATGATCAAGGGCACGTGACTTCCGGCTTTTGCCCTGTGTTTCAGAAATCGGAGCCCAGTGTAAGCCCGGCCAAGGAGTTTGTCAAGGTGTCTCTATACCTAGGGTTGTGTTAATTTCTTTGTTTGCATTGGTTGTTCTTCATTGGTTTGACTTTGTGTAACAGATGGGAAACACAGTGTACTTGGCCTCCCCAGTGTCCCTACCCCCCTGGCTAGAGAGCTATGAGGGCTATATCTTCCCAGGCCTCTGCCAGGTACTGTCCTGTCCCCACTCGTTGAAATGCACCATCCAAGTCCAAGAAGGGGAAGACCAGTTTCCCCATTTTTCTGACTCAGACTGCGTCTGCACAGTGCCTCTTCTGGAGACTGGGCCAGAATGCACGTTCTGGTTACGTGCAGATCAGGGGAAGGGAGACGGTCCATCTTAGGGAATTTCCAGACGGAAGAGCAAAACAATAGTGTAGAGCCAGTCTCAGTCTCCTCTCTGATGCAAATCTGTATAACTTTTAGGGCTTGGTCTTAAAACCCACCCGAGTGATTTACAAAACCAGATATTGTACATTTAGGAATGTTTTGTTAAATATATATATTTTTAAAACAATGTAAGTGGAAATTCTGATAATTTATGTGTATTATATGTAAAGCTAGTTTTGCAAAAACATAAACTCCTAGGAAAATGTTTTTTTTTCTCTTTAATCAGACTTATTTAATTTATTTATTTTTGTTTATATATTATGATATCTGTCTTCACACAGATACTATTTTCATACTGCCCTGGACCAAATCCCATGTGAGGTTTATGCACTGTAGCAAGGAACCATGTAGAAATAAAATTCAGAGAGATGAAAGTGGGAGGATGTCTGCAGCCAAAAGGAATCGCTCTGTGCCAGGTTCTCGGCTTGTAGAATGGTTCTTGATATAATGAGGGAATCCTTGTTCTTAGGAGAAACCAGGGATGCGCTTTATCTTCACTCTGCAGCCCCTGAGTGTCCTCAGAGGCTCTTTGCTCACTTGTCTTCTCTCTTCCTATGTTAATCACCCATCTCTCATGACCCTTCCTTGGAGAGTTGAGTGAAGCAGCAAGAGTTGGGCTTAGCTGGGGGAAGGGAGGTGGGCTGAGCAATGGAGGGTCATTGCTATGGTTGGTTATGTATCTCCGACTGGTCCTTTTTCTTTCTGGAAGATGACCAGGCAGATAGAGAGGCTCAAGGCTCTGAGCTTTGTGTTTCAGAGACATGTTGAGTGCCTAGTCTGTGATTAGAGACATGGTCCTTTAGACAGTGAATCTGAGGTTTATCTGGACTCTTGATCCTTAAGATGGCCTTGGTTCCCTCTGTAGAAAGCCTCTCTACTTTTGAGTTTCTCTATGACTTCATGAAGCTTCTTATCTTCTACCTTTCTCCATCTAGGCTGTCTTGGCCATGGGGAGCCGGCAGGGGACAGTCACCTTGGATGAGTCTAGCCAGAGGAAGATCAAATTGAAGTCCTATGTGCCCTTCTCTTTGTTCACATAGGATCCTGTAGGAACTGCTGGCCTAGAATATAGGGAACTATTCTAGAGAAACATCTGCTTTTGCCCAAATGCCTATTATCATATTTCCACTTGGTTTTATGCCTTCCTTAGAGAAAGCAAATGTATGCTTCTCCGAAGCCCCTAGACAAACCTCATTCTTATGTGTTGTGGCAGATAATCTGTGTAGCATTGCTAAATCCTCTAAAGAAAGAGACCCTTGCTTTCTGTTTACCTTTTAGGGACAGACGTGTTTACCATAGAAGCAGTGTCAGTATTCTTGTTGGAGATGGAAGAGAATGTTTGGAGATTTCTTTCAATCGGTGTCCATCTTTGCTCCTTGCTGAAAACACCAGAAATATTTTAGCTTCAGACATATCACAAATCTAAACTTATGAACATTTCAAGGATCTCTGGTGATAAGGTAGGAATGTGAAACCATTACTAAGGTGGAATTCCCGTTAATTTCTAGGTTCTGGTTATAACAAGAAGTGTTTCAAATGATGATCTTTGTTGGTTGTTTCCATTACTGTCAAATCAAGAAGGATGTTCCACAAATTGGGCAAAAGCTGGTTAAATTTGTTTAGACTGAAGTTCTGGAATTTTTCACTTTCTGGGTAGTTGTTTTGATGAAGTGTAGGTGAAATCCAGGTGACATATAGCAAATTGCCTTGGGATGGGAAATACCAGACCTGTGGGTGTGTCAGGGTTTGTCCTAATAGCTTTCTTGAAATAGGGCTTAGGTTTCCACTTGTTATCTTATATCCCAGAATTCTCTCTTTACCCATAGGGCCCTTTTCTTCACTCTCTACCCTGCTTTGCCTGTACCCCGCCCTGCCCCAACTTACCCCACCCCACACCACCTCACCCCACTCTGTGTCTACAATTCCTGGGCAAGTCTTTAGGAATTGCACCTTGATTTGGCAGCCGCATTCCAGAATTACCTGTGAGGTTGGAAAAACAGCTGTGGGTGGGAACTTAAGGGTACCTCTTTAGTCAAGGAACCTTCTAGGCAGCCCACTGCTTGCCATCTTGTTAGCTGTGCATTAGGACTCTTCTTCTCTGCTCCAGTCCCTGAGATTGGTATCAGCATCTTGTAATGGAAACACTTGAGTTTATGGCCCACATTCCAAGAGGCCTTTTTGTAGAAGGTGGTCAGGGCTCCTAACCATTTGGAAGCCACCGACTAATGCTGATGTACCCACGTGTCTCTTCTGGCTTTGGAATAATGTTCGTGGGCAAAAAACATCAAAAATTACCCTTTAAGGATGAAATTGGATAACTATGAGAAGGTAGTAGAGAAATGATTTAAAATGTTATTCTTGTTCAATTTAGATTAAATTAGGAAATGTTCTCTCTGAATCACGGAAATGTATTTTTTTCCCCCAAATAAAATTTAGTATAAGGATGGAAAAGTAATAATCACAATAGACTTTGATCAATGCAACTGCATCTCCGAATTTCCACATTTAAAAATAGCCTTGACTGAAGGCTGAATTGCATTTCCCATTATTAACTGTTGGCTTAAAAATTTGTAAACTTTTTAAAATTTGAAATTTAGTTACATTCATGCAGTTTTACAATCTAGTTTCTGTGGAAGTTTTTTTAAACAAAGAGAAACATGTACAAACATCTTCAAATGTTCCTAAGTGAATATTTAAAATGCAGACTTGCTTCTCCTTTGTGTTTCTATATTCAGATACTTAGATCTGTTGTATATATTAGTTTAGACACTCACTAATATACACAGTATTTAAGACTCTAAATGAGATTTCTTAAGTATTTTATTTTATTCTCTGTAAATGGTTTTGTATAATCTTTAAAAATCTACACTTTGCCTTTGTAGATATTTAAGGGAAACCATTTGGGGGCTGTCTTGCATGTATATTTTTGTTGTAGATAAGTATCTCTTAGTTATTTCTGCAAATTTTGGTTGAAATGCTTACAGACTTTAATACAGTATATATTTTCAGAATATAAACTTTTATATTTCTGTGGTAAGTTAGAATATGCGTTTTAGGCAATCTTTTTCATTAATATCACTTGTTCTTTCAAAAAATAGCATACTGGTTTGGTGCCAATGGTTTTGTGTTTTTTTTTTTTTTTTTGTGTGTGTGTGTTTTTTTCCCCCCCATTAGACTCTAATGCTCTTATATTATTAGAGAGCAGGTTAATTATTTTTTTTCTTGAAGTGTAATTTGAAAATGTATTGCATTTGTGAATAAGCCTTACCATTAGGATCAGTAAATTTTCCAACCTTTACAACTACATATGTAGTTTAAGATCTCCCCATAAATTCTCACTGTGTGGCAGTTGATGGAGTTTGTGAACAGAGCCTTAAGCTTGTTGCAAAAAAACAAAACAAAGGGTAATACGGGTTGTTTCTTCCAAGCAATGTAAGCCATGTTGATGGACGCCATGCAGTCTGTAAGTTATGGCTTATCTGAAGAGTTTGGTTGAGTTGATGGCTGCAGGGGCCAGTTAGGCACCTTGGTGATTGTCTTTGGCCATATACATGAACCAAGGACAGGTTTTCTGGAGCCACCTTTGTACTATTCACATGATTCAGACACGGTCACAGGGAGGGCTGCTAGTCCATCCTTTGTTCTGAACAAATGGCATTTCCTGCTCCTGACCCTGGTGGTTGACCCCAGGTTCCTTGTGGGTGACTTGGAAACGTCCAACCTGGCTGAGATCAGCATTCCTTGAGAGATGTTAATAAAGTTTACATGTGAGTCTTGTGTAGACAATCTGAAGTTCTTTTCAGTTATACAATCAGCATTCCCATGTGTCTTGAGCGTCTTATCAATGAACTGTGTGTGTTAAGCCATACGAAACCCATGTTTAGCAGGGCAAAGGCAAACTAGATGCAGAACATACACATTGGCTGAGTCCATCCAACCCAGGCTGTTTTAATGGAGCACAAGTCATGGAGCTCATTGGTGGTGTGTGTCCATTGTGCTTGAGACCTAGTAAAACCAACTAAAAATTGGATTTAAATTCCCTTAAAATGATGATTCCTTTCAGTTGGTCACAGTACCAACTGATTCTCTGTTCCTAGGCTTTAAGGATGATTTTGAGACCAAGACTATAGCATGGCTAAAGTCAAGTTACAATTTGGTTCATTTTGAATAATATTCATAAAGTTAACTTATCTACCACTGGGATGGAGATATGCTTCAAATGTTTGCAAGTATGAAAAGTTGACATCTAGTTTTAAGCTTCAGCTCCAGCATTTGTTGGCTTGATCATGCCTCATTAGCCCCACACCTGACCTGATGCTGGAGCTCAGGGGATTCTGGGAAGTTTGGAAGGTGTAGAGTTTTCCATCTAGTATTTGTCCCTGCGCCATTAGTCCCAGCTTGAAGTCATTTGCTGATGCCCATGTTGACAGGATTGTGAAAATATTGCCTTTCATAAAACCAAGGACCAAAGAATTTCATTATTTCAACAAAGCATGAGTTTCATAGATCATAGGCACATCGAGACGGAGGTGTGCTTGCTTCAAGGCACAAAGAAACTGCTCGCTTCCACCAACTGCATACTCCCCCTGGCTGGCCATACAGAGGGGTGTGTCGTCACCTGGAGAAGGCTCTGAAAGATGAGTTTCTCAGACGGAAATTTGCTCTCAGGTGGGTGTTTTTGCAGTCCAAGCCTTTATCCATTACGATCAAAAGTGGAGGTCTGGCACTCTTCCAGGTTCTCTGGCCAGTGTGGACGGCTCCATCTGAATAACAACCCCTACGGCCAGTTTTTCAGATGTGACCGCACTGAATAGCCATCCTGCAGTTGCCAAATTTCCACTTCCTTGTGTTCTACATTGACCCATTCCAGTTCCTGATGATGTGAGAAGAATTTTCTTCTATTCTCACACCAGGTGATGCTCTCCATTCTCATTCATGATGCAATCATCGATCCTTTAACTGGTTGAGAAATGCTTGATGCTGAAGAGAAGTGGTGTTCTAGTGGTAAGGCTTATTACCAAACTTCTGATAACGAAGCAGGCTACCAAAAACTTATCCAGCCCACCCTAGGATTGTTTGGGTTTGATCCTGGATGTAGCACACACACACCAAAATCCAAGGAGACCTTTGCAAATTAGGCTACTCGTTTTCTTTTGTCATGGGAGAGTCTTGAACTAGTTCTGAATATTGTAAGTATGAGTACTTCATAGAATTATCAAGCAGGTACAGCTGACCCTTTCTCACCGTGTTGTAAATATTTTCCTGAGACTGGGTGCAGTACTGGGGGATAATAATCTGATTTATCAAATGCTGACTGTCTAGAGCAAATTGTACACTCTCTTTGTGAATGGTCCTGTAACGTGTATGAACACATTTCTGGGTGCCTTAGAAGTTGTATTTTCATGTGTGCTAATATGCAGTATTTATACATTGTGAAAAGCTGCTTTGAATAAAAAGGTTGAAACTTGGTCTGCGTTTGCTTGTCCCCACTCCCTTCTCTCCCCTTTGCAGCCTGTGCATGAAATTCACCAACAGGTTCTATGGTTTCTGAACAGAGAAGTTTCTGGGGCCTCCAGGGGGTTGAGGCCTCTGATGCTTCTAGGTTGTGTCTGGGTTCCTGGGTAGCACAGGCCTGCACCCACATCTGGCCTGAGGCTTTACTCAGGCAACTAGTCACTGGGCAGCAGCAGCTTGATTCCAGAAGACCTTAGAAGGGGAGCACAGGATTATTTTTTAGGGGGGTTAAAATGAGAATTCACCTCTTCCCTGGTATGCCCAGAAAGTTTCCTTGCACAACTTGAGTTCCATCTCATACAACCTGAACTGCCACACATGGGTGACATTTGTCACTGTGGACTTACACAAAGTCTTTCTGCCGGCACTATCTCATTGCCTGGACCATCACAGCATGGCTCTTAAGAGAGGCACACTGCTGAGGGCCCCTGGCTTCCCAAGACTTTGCAGGGGCTGCAGGAAAGAGGAAGAGGGGTCTTTCAGGGGTTCATGGCAATGAATAATCCTGGGAGAGGGATTTGCATAACGTCATTGTCTGCTCTACCATCCATCCAGCAGCCATAGTCAGCCTACTGCTCTGTCTTGGGTGCCGCACAGCTGCAGAAAGGCACGGATTACTCAGATAGTCCCTGTTGTGAAGAATCTTGGGTCCAGGAATGTGAGAAGGCAGGTAATTCTGCCCTGATTCTTGAACTGCCCTCAAGGCAGTCCTGGAGAGAACACCTTATACACAGGCACAAACACCTTCAGGGTCTAGAATAGGGGTGTCGAACTCAATCAGAGAAGGGGCCAAAATCTAAAATCCAGCCTAAATCGCGGGCCGAATAGTTTACTGAACAGTCATAAACTGTCATTGTGATGGAAACGCAGCGGAGTGCAGTGATGACAGCGCGGTGCGGGCCACTTTGCAAGGCCTGGTGGGACGGATTTGGCCAGCGGGCCTTGTGTTTGACACATGTGGTCTAGAATATGGTGCTCCATTCATTGTTTTCCCTTTCAATCTGTGGGCTGGCCTTGGCTGGCCCAGGACCTTCCCTCCACTGGCCTCCCTTTCCTTTTTCTTTCTATTATTCTTGGTGTCTTTGTGGTTGCCATTGTTGTCATTTAGTGTGCCCCTTTGCTCTTTCTCCAGGGTCCTGGTTCCATCCTGAGTAGTCAAGGTCACACCTGGAAAGTCCTTTGCTCTTGACTGCTTCTTGTCCTTTCAATAGACTGGACAAGGCCTTGGAGATGTTTCAGAGTGAGGCATCTGTAAGACAAAACCACATTCCTTTGTCTCTTGAGGCTAACTGGTGTGGTATCGTGCTAGAAGGACCCTTGCCCAACAGCGAGAAGAAAATAGAGTGAAGTGGGTTGAAATGCCTATCTAGTCAGATACATCAACAACTAGGTGAACCACCACTATGCTGAACAATGGTGAATGTAATTCCAAAAGCAACTTTATTTTTCTCACTACCCCGTGAAGTCTGCTTAATGGAATAGCCCTCTCTTAACCCTAGACGATGAGACATGTAGGCGGCAGGACCTTTTTCGTAAATAATAATTCCTTAAAGCTGTAAACACAGCTTCAATTCAAAAAATAAAAAAATGGTCATGTTCTATTTAAATATCAGTGCTTCCAACTGCATTCAGGTGAAGGCTCCACTCATCCTTGCTGACCCTAGATGCCTTTTCCCGTTTGATTGAGGGAAGCAAGAAACATTGATTTTACAAGGACCAAATGTTGTTGGCAGATGGGCATTTTCATTCCCTGGGCCTTGTAGATGTCACTATCTCTCTTGTCTTTCAACTTGGATGGGTTTCTTGGCGATTTCCCTCCGTTGATGGTGGCCAGTCTCAGAATTGCCAAATGAACTCTGTGAACCCATTACTCCCTCTTCAGCCCCTAGGAGTCTAGTGGTCCACAGCCAGCTTCTCCAAGTGAGGTCTATTGGTCCCTTTAGGGCAAGACAACCAATCCCCATGCCAGCTCTTTGCCTTGGACCACATGTGGCTCATGGGAAACACTCACACCCTCAGCCCAAACAGGTGACTTCTGAACAACAGTGAATGCCTCACTGGTGGAGTACCATCTGCCTCCCTGCCCTGTCCAGTGCATTTCTCAGGCATGAGTCAGATGCCAATCTACAATGTCCCCTACTTTTTAGGGGGTACACACAAGTCTCTACCGAAGTCCCCTTCTCCTTTGACTTCAGATGAAAGGGAGGCCTCCTCACATACTTTCCAGGTGTGAGTGTGTGTGTGTGTGTGTGTGTGTGTGTGTGATGTGGATAGCATAGTTCTCTTCAAAGAAATTCTTACCGACGCTTCTTAATAAATCTTAGATATGTAAATTACACCTAGAAACTATTCAGGCTCTTGAAGGCAGCGATGTCAACGTGTTGGCAAGTCTTCACAAGGAGACACATGCCGTAGGTCCTGTGGGTGAGGTGGGCTTCCCTGGACGATGTGCAAAAGCGTGGCCTCATGGACTTGTGCTTTAACAGGTTTGCTCTATGACAGAAGGTGAGAGCAGGGTGAGGATGGGGAGACTAATAGGAGGTTCTCCCACTTGTCTATTCAAACAGAGGTTTGAATCAGGGAGGGATTGGCGAGGTGGTGAGGAATGAAGTCCTGAGTGTGCGTTGAAGGCAGACCAAGATCTGCTGGTGGATTGGTTGTAGAGTCAGAGGAAGTCAAAGGTGGTGATGGGACCTGGGGCCTGGGCAGCTGGAAAGCTGGAATTATCCCCAACTGAGGCAGGGACAGCTCTGGACTCTGGGGGAGCAGGTCTGAGTCAGGGTGACAGGAGCTCAGCTGAGACCTGGTATCACCTCCCTCAGTCTTTGGGGTTACAACTGTGTCTGCCTCGTAGGGAATTTTTAGATAATTAAACAAGATACACACACACACACACACACACACACACACACACACACAAACATTGTTTCTCAAATGTCTCCCCTCTCCAACAATTGTATTCTCAACCTGACAACCCTTTCATGCTGATCCCTGTATGATGAGTCACACATCTCTCTGTGACAAAGGAGAGAATGCTAGAATATGAGTCAGTTTATCACTGTTAAAATCTCAGATATTGTGCTCTGAATATTTTCATGTGTTTTTGCTTTTGTTGCTGCTTATAGTTATTGTTAAATTTTCATGGTTACTATACATTTCCTTTCCTTTTTTTAAAAAATTTTATTTACATTTCATATCCTTTTTGTTTTTAAAGTGTCTATTTATAAACACTACAATAGACATGTACTGTATATAAGAAAGGGTAAAACAGAATTATTTGGGGGTCTGGAACAGATTAATTAAATTTACATTATTTCTAATGAGAAAAATTAAGTTCGAGAAATGAGGTTCCACTGTATATAGAGGGTGTCCCAAAAAATGGATATACAGTTTGAATAATTATTAATATCAATGGGAAAAGAAAGAAACATTAATTGAGCTACCAGCTGTTAAAGTGTGTATACATTTTTTGGGGGAACTCCCTATACATAACTGTATATGTATATATGAGATTTCTTTAATTATATAAATGACTTTAATATATTAAATTAAATTCTATGTATAATATTTCAAACAGTTTTTGGCATATAGCCTTTTAATGACTAAATGGGATTTGCAGCAATATATATGTATGTGTGTGTGTGTGTGTGTGTGTGTATATATATATATATATATATATATATATATATATATATGGGAAATGTTATATATAGTTTTTAGAACAGTTGATAACATATAGTCACTATTAATGATTAAATGAAATTTTTATGTATATGCATACATTTACATATATAAGATTTATATAAATGAGATTATGTATACATATTATATGTAATCTTTTTCATGTGTTTTTTTGTTTATAAAAACTTTTCTTTTTTGCTGTTTTATTTTTTTAAAGTTATCTTTGCCTTTGAAAGTCATATTTTCCGGCATATAAGATGACCCCTTAATTTTACAGTTAAAACATAGGGTTAGGCCTATATTCGCTGTATAAGACTACCCCCCACTTCAAAGAAAAGACTTACTTTGCCGTCAAGATCTACAGGTAATTTTTGTGCAATTTTGGTCTTTTGCCCCCGATTTTCGGTTGACTTTTTTTTCGTTTCAAAAGTCGTCTTATACGCCGGAAAATACGGTATTACAGATGTCCCCTTTTTTTCTCCATTGACCCATTCTAGCCTGCACCCACTCCCTGCCCAGGCCTTCACTTCACTATTATCTGTGTCCATGGGTTATGCATATATTCATGCAAGTTCTTTGGTTGTTCTCTTCCCTCCTTCCCACTCACCCCACCTTCCCTCTGAGATTTGACAGTCTGTTCTATGCTTTTGTGTCTCTGGATCTATTTTTGTTCATCATTTTATTTTGTTAACTAGATTCCACATATGAGTGAGATCATGTAATAGTTGTCTTTCTCTGGCTGGCTTATTTCGCTTACCATAATACTCTCCAGGTCCCTCATGCTTTCTCAAAAGGTAAGAGATCCTTCTTTTTTTTACTGCTGCATAGTATTCCATGTATAAATGTACCACAGGTGTTTTTTTTTATCCACTCGTCTGCTGATGGCCACTTGGGCTGTTTCCAGATCTTAGCTTTTGTAAATTGTGCTACTATGAACATAGGGGTGCATATGTTCTTTCTGATTGGTGTTTCAGTTTTGTATATGTAATCAGGACAGATAGTAACTGTTTAATTATTTAATGTGATTTCTACATATGTGTATATGTCTGTGAGAATTTAAATGATATACAAATCTATGAGAGATATATAAATGTTATTTCATCTACATATGAAATATTTAGGACAGTTAGAGCACATGATCACTCTTTAGTGATGAAATGAGCTTTACATATATGTATGAGATTATATGAGTAGACTTATTGAAAATATGGAATTAGATGGTTACCTATATATACACATGTGAGTGTGTACGTGAACACACACACACACACA